CATGGTTAAACAACAATTAAAAGAGAGAATAAAAATTAAGAGAACAAAGAAGAATGTTTATAGAAACTGGCCTGCTGGATCTCCATTGTGAAGTAGGGAAAGACTGCAGGATCTAAAACTAGCAAAAATATATATCACAAGCTGATACATTAACTTCAAGTCAAATATTCTCATAGGAAACGACAATGTGGAAGAGAGTAAGCAAGTGGAGATGCACTCTCCTTGGAGTTAGCTCACTGCATAGCTAATTTATATGGATAGGCTCACATGGATCTTCTCAAGGAGTCAAAGCTCTGCTCCTGAGAATCCAGCTTTGTCCTCAGCAGGACAAAGTTCAGTGAACTGCTATAATCTGTATAAGAAAATAAGCTTGGCTGGGAAATAACTTGGAACGCTTCCTTTGTGGGAAGCGCTGAGATGAAAGACTACTGTATTTTTGCAGAAGCATTTTAAATCCTTCAAAAGAATGGGCACAGCAAGAGGGTAAGAAGACAGACACTATTAACTGGCAAGTCAGATACACAGAGAGAGAATAATGTCAAAGATTAGTACAAATATAGAAGTCACACCTACTAAGTTTCAACACATCACGGTGGCAGGACTACAGAATTTTATTTTTTAGAGAGAAAGTATGTTGCAGACTTCCATCCAACTCCTCCTCCTTAATCCAAGGAAACAGAGACCTCCTAGCACGGAGTAATGGACAAGTTTGCAGAGCACAGTATAAGCCACACACAAAAGAGATGCAAATATGGTTCACAGGACAGATGCTTAACATCCCCTCGTGCCATAGGAGCACAGGCACTGCAGAGGGATGGGGTTATACAGCAGGACCAGACACTTCTGTTGGTATTGCAAAATGGAAAGTAGACATTTCATTTTGTTATCTGTCACTGCTTTGAAGCAGCTTCTCTACCTGTTCGATTGGAAGATAAGAATATGTGTGTGCATGCATGCACATGTGAGATCCCTTTCATCATGGGGGGGAGTTCTGCTAAAATGTGATCTAACTTGAATTACAATGTTAAAATCTGCAGCCTCTCTGCCTTTAGTATCTGTCTTTTTTAGAATTTGAGACTTTTTTTTAATCTTTTCACGCATATTCAGTAATCTTTGAGGTGTGCATTTTTTCCATCTGCTTTTCAGATTTCTAAGGTAGAGTAATTACCTGTTTTGTCTTCTAAAAGTTAAATTTAGAAATTTTAATGAATACCTAAAACATTATTAGAGAGTGCAGACATGTCTGTGCCTGCTTCTGCCTTCCCATTTTCTGGGTTGCACTACAGTAAGAGTAGGATTAAGGTCTTCAAAGAACAGGACTGATTAAACTGAAAACTATTTTCTTTTATAGTCTTCTCCTTTTGTAATCTAATAAAACCTATAAATTCTGTACCAGACACAGGGAATATATCAAGGAAGAAAAGATCAAAAAAAAAAAAAATGGTTGGATAAAATGTTATTTTCAAGCAATTTTACATGTTTTATCTCAGAGGCAAAACAGGGGTTTTTAACTCGGTAACACGTTGTGGTCTGGGCAAGCGCTCAGTGCCCAGGCAGCAATGTCCACTTGCTGCTTGGGAAGCCAGGATACTTCTGCTGTCCTGGAACACAAAAATTAGATTTCCTCAGTTTGCTGGGGAAGAGAAGGGTGGGGCTGAAATTCTGGTCTAGCTTATTATCTCCATAAGAAGGGAAGCACGTGAAAGGGTGGAAGGAAATCCACCAAAATGCTGCACAGGCCATTAAAAGGCAGTTTTCATGAGGCTGACACTAGGCCAAGAAACTACCAAATGGCAGGAGCTGGGAACAACTGAAACAGGTTGCACACTGTCTATAATTATATTTTCCATGGCAATGATGCCTATACCTATCCAATTTGAAAGAAACCCCAACCAACTGGTGTGAATAAGCTCAAGAAGGAATTATTGAAGTGATAGGTTTAGAGGCAACTAGTTGCTACAGATTAATCAGCTGTATATAAATGAATTTTTAACCAGGAAAATCACAAGTCTTGAAGATACCTAGCCATAAATAAACATCACTGCTGAAGATTTAGCACTAAGCACTGCCTGATTTATGGATTACTGGGTGCAATGTCATTGCAAACGTGAAAGTGATGAGAGAAAACAGTTAAGCATCAAGGGAAAAGCAGATAAAATGGAAGACAGTAAAATGTGTAGCAAATCTGGTTAATGAAGGAGGCTAAGACCAATACTCTGCAGCTTAGTCTTTGTGAAGTTCTTTTAGAGAATTAACAACTGGTAGAAAAGTAATAGGTCAAAGATTAGAGAAAGAATACGCTGCTTTTAAAAGACAAAATGGAATAGAAAACAGTTTAGTTGTTTGTAAATACGAAATATGAGTGATGAGAAAGAATGTAAAGAAAAATGACTGAGGACAGCTGGAGAAGGCAATAGATGTAGCAGCTCACTAAGACTCATGAAAATTTAACTGCTTTGTTTTGCATCTCAAGAACAGCAAGTTTTTCTATAAAGGATGTGGCTAAATTTAAACTTACATTAAACTAGTAACATATGACAGATGCACTTGACCCCTTAACCAAACTAGCAATAGTTTGGTACAGGCTCCAAAGGAAATAAGGGTCTGAGCTGCAGCCAGGCCAAGAACTCCTCTAGGGAACCAAAAAAAGGGCAGAGTGACCCAGTGAGCATCGATGCACATGAGCTTGAAACATGGATTGTATCCTTAATGCGTGAATAACAGGTGGCTTTTCCAAGACTCATTTATCAAAGAACAAAGAAAGTTGTGGGTACAAGGAGCCTCATGCATACCCTTCCAACTATATTAAATTTGACTATGAGTCAACTTCTTTATCCCAGAACTTTGAAAACCTAAGGGAGCCTCCTCTGAGCTCTCCCTGCAAGGCAGCGTGGCTGCATGGTGGTGATCTCCCTTTGCACTGGGACAACTCTCAAGGTTGTTCCTTGAGGCAGAGACGGTCTTTGGATCTTTGGATGACTCCAGCTCAAATTCTCTCTAAATTACAACTGGACTGCACACCAGTGACTGTCCCCTTGAGCTGTGACCCCTCTCAAGGATTGAGATTCCTTACCTGACACGAAGAAATCCTTCCTTACCAAGGTGGAGAGACCCTTATTTACAATAGATCCTCAATAAGTGGCTGATAGCATGCTAAACCAATACTAATGAAATCCATGTAGTTAATTCCTTTAAACATACACCATGGTCCAAGTCTGAGACTAAGACTGGACCTAGCCACAGTTAAGCTCCATCAGGAGTTTAGAAAACAAGAGGGTCTTCTCCCAAACTCGTGACCCAACAGGAGGGTTTCCCTCACCCTTTGGCATCTTTGGTCTATATGTAAATCATTTGAAATAGATTTGAACTCGATTTTCCTTTTTATGTTTCATCCCTGTAGGATGTAACAGAGTGAACCTTGCCAGTGAACTTTATTAAGCTATGCTTTTATAAACTGACTTTTGTTAATATCTCTGACAGTGATTCTTTAAGCAATCTCAATCACAGATTTGTGACAAACTAGCATAGTTGGCAGGATCCTAAATCGATGCATGACTTAATGCTACAACTGTTATGGCTATTAAAATATTTTCTAAGGTGAACAAAATAAAATAAATATATTCTTTGGAATTTGTAAATGGCCTAATATAGAAGACTAAAAAGTATTAAGGAGTAAGCAAGACCAGCACTGACTATTTTTGCACAGAGTCAACAGTCACCCTTGGCTGCTGGATGTGAGTAGCACCAAGAGAGGTGGGAAGCAAGGCATGAAATGCATCTTGCGCCAACACTAAGAATTGACAAGGAACTTCCCCCCATGACGTCAAGTCATGCCATGTGAAAGAGTAAAGGGGGATCTTTTCTTTCATATTAGTGCCATAAACTGACTCTTACATGCCAGACCATCAACTTACTTTCCAGCATGTCTCTGGTAGATTGCCTCTCCTTCTTGATTGAGCTTTCCAGCTTCCTTGTGACTGTTTCATTATTCATAGCCAAATGCAAACATTCAAAAAATTACAAATTTAATGCAAGGGTTAACCAGGCAGGTACTGCTGTACCTCTGAACTGCACTACAGACTTAGTTGCCTTCATGCATAACTCAAATGTTTGTTCTAAAGCTGCTGTAGAAGTTCACCCTATTGTGAAAGTTGCAACTGAAGTGCCATTGCAACTAACTGCAACCAGATGGCTTCAGTGACACTAGCTGAGTTGGAAAAATGTCTAGGGAATATAAGGAGGAATCAGGTAAAAATGTGTATTAAACAATACGCATGTTTCTGTTACTTGCATTGCCATCTTTATAGCAGGTATTGCATCACCTCTTTCCTTCAGAAATTATATAAGTAGTTCAAGGCATATTACAGATAAAGAACTCAAAAGAAAAGAAAAAAATGTATTAAAACATCTTTATTGTTGTTTTTGTGTGGTGAATCTGTTTAGGGCACAAGAAGCAGGTGTTTCCATGTTGTTGATTTTTAAAAAATTTCTACTCATTTTTTGTGCAGGCACATCTCTTAAAGCAAACTAATTTAATTTGGGAACTAAACTATAAAAGATTAGTCTGTAGGGACTAATTTCCCATGTCATTCCCCAGCTATGGACTTTACCAAGTACTGTCCCTAAAGCAATTCTTAGTATTGAGTACGTACATTGCTAGGTTAAAAAAACTCCTAGTGTATCACATTTTGCAAAACCTGCCATACATACTGTTCAGTGGGCAATGGCACAAATTAAACTATAATCCAGATACCCTGAAGCTTTACTTCATTTGCAGGTGATTTACAGTAGCATAAACCCAAACAACTTACAAATCAATGCATCCTACAGTGTTTTTAAATAACTAGGACACTTCTATGAAATGTATAGCATGCTTTACTCCTTTCTGTCCTTCCCATTTAGGCACTATAGGAGCAGTTCACAATAATCTGAGAAAATTACTAAATATCCTCTTAAATAAGAAATGTAAATAGCTGGAATGAATTACTATTTATACTCACTTGATATAATACGGCACTTTGTTTGGTGAGATTGCCCTCTCCCAGGGGCCTTGGACAGAAGCTGTTAACAACAAACAAACATACAAATAAATAAATAAGTAACTGCACACATACATTCATACATAGAAACATACCTAGGAGAGAAACATGGAGGTCAAACAGGAAAGACAACGTTAATCTCCAGAATTACAGTTTTACACTCGGCCACGTTGATACAGGTCTGTTTGCTCAGTTGCCCATGAAGACAGGAAGGATTAACCTACTGTTCAGAAATTTCTGTCCTAATCTGAGAGAAACTGAACTCATTCAGCTGCAAAGATAAATATAAAAAAACCTCCTTGAGAGTTAAGCTTTCAGAACAGATATGAAGCAGAGGAAGCAACCTCTCTTTCTGGCATGTTCTTTTATAGCGTTCCTCCTGCTAATGTGTTTGACTGGGATTTCTTCTATTTCTTTCCTTGTGTGGTCAGCACTTTCCCTCTTTATAAGAACAGAATTATGCACTTGTTTACAAGTTACACTGAGAGACCATCTAAGTATTTTGTTTATTCTCTTGTTGACTTGTTTTAATTGGTAAACACTTTTATTTTTATTTCTCTACATTACTAATTGTGCTTATTGCCTTCCTATAACAGCAAATAATGGAAAAAAAAATGACAGTGTGATCACAACAAATAGAGAGGAAATTACATTACTCACTCTTGTCTATCACAGTGTTAAATGTCAACATCAACTTACAGCATAATGAAAATATTTTGCAACAAAGGTTTTATAAATCTCATTGTGGCAAAACAATTGTAAAGTATTTTTCATTAGAGGTGTTATTAGAGGCAGAGATAATTTATAGATTAGGCCATAATCAAGAGGTGTTTTTTTATTAGGAGTTTTTTGTCTGTCAAAAGCAGTAAAACAAGAATTTTCTTTAATATAATGATTAAAACAGAAAACATATGAAAAGTGATGTAGTGGAGGAAAAAAAAGCCTGTTTGTTTCACCCAGTGTAACCCTTCTTTTTAGTGACCCCTACTGTTCACAAACGAAAGTAATTGTTACCAAGACAACTAGTAATCAGCTGCTTGACCATTTGGGTCTATTTTCTTTCCCTCTCTTATTCAAAATAGATACTTTAAAAACACCACTCCCAAACTTCAGGTACTTTAACAGTCAACAAATCACAATCCACACAAATAATAATTTCCTATATGCACATTTCATATATTTTGTACCAGATTCGCAGAAGTCAGTCTGCAGAATGAAGTATAGTGCCCCTCCCTCGCCCACATATTTGAGTGTGGGCAACAAGAGCTGGAGGAAAGAGATGAAACATGCTTAGAAAAATGGCTGTATAGGGAAATCTTGCTATTTTTTTAGAGCTGCATTCACACGAATTGTGAAGAAGGGCTGGAGGGAGGCTGAGGATTCCACAGAGGGGAGACAAATCAGAGAGCAGCAGGGGGGAAACTGGTGCCATTCTAGATGGTCAGAAGAGAAGGGAGAGCTGCTGGGAACAGGGTACAGGCTGGGAAGAGAGTGAATGGGTTTCACATATGTTTTGGACAATGCTAAGAAGCTAGGGAAAGGAAGGAATATGTTTGGAAGAAATAGAATCATAGAATGGTTTGGGTTGGATGGGACCCTAAAGATCATCTAGTTCTGACCTCTCCACCATGGGCTGGGAACCCTTCACTAGACCAGATTACTTAGAGCCCCATCCAGCCTGATCTTGAACACCTTCAGGGATGGGGAGTCCACAACCTCTCTGGACAACCTTCCAGTGCCTCACTATTCTTACAGTAAAGAATTTCTTCCTAATATCTACCCTCCTTCAGCTTAAGGCCATTCCCCTTTGTCCTATCACTACCTGCCTTTGTGAAAAGTCTCCCTCCATAAATGTGATAATATTGTTTCAGATTACTGGTGGCCAAGGAGTTCTGAAAAATCTACCTCAGCATCTCTGCAGGTCCTGCTGTCTTCAACTTCCAACCAGCCACCTGTAGCTAAGCTGAGTGTCATTGCTTTCCTATTATTTATATTTACACAGATTTGCATCCTTAAAAAAAGTAAAATTAAATTTTAAAGGTATGAACCATGAGAACCAGTAACTCTCAAAGTGTGTAAGAGATAGAATTTTAATTATGGTGTTAGATCTCCTGGAAAATTAGCTCACTGCCCTGCCATTGAAGTCTGCAGCATGACCCATAAAGGCAAGAGCATAGCTGTATGCATTTTAAAATACAAACACTCAAATATACACTTAATTTATACATGATCAAATATTCCTTCTTATACCAGGCACTGCCATTTTGTTCAATGTTCACAGACTGCACACTGAGGAGCTGTGAAGGCCAAGGCTGCTGTCCATTGAGCTGCAGCTGCTCAGTTTCTGTGTACTGCTATAGCCTCAAATGATGTAAAGATACAATCTGTTATGTCATTTATAGGAATGCAAAAATTATGAAAAATAGAATATTATATAATGTCTTGATGTTAAATACCTTAAAGTAAGGGAATATGTCCTACATTCAACCCTATTTTCAGGTTCATACAAAATTCTTAAACATGATGCTTAATTATTCTTTCTACTGCTGTATTTGTTCATAAACTGCTGTAAATGCAATTTTGGGGACTGATCCAATATTCTCCATCATCTAGATGGCACTAGGAAACAAAAGCCAAGGAATTAGAGAGAGATTACAATTTCATTTTATGCTATCAATTACTAGGTGATTTCTTTGCATGTTTTTATTCAGTAATGCTAACCTGTGTGCTAATATGTGGTCCATCGAATAGTTTTCAAACGCTTACTCAGTGACAATTGTAAGGTTTCTTACCCATGGGGATTGGTATTGTCTGAGGAATAATTTGAATGAGATTACAGTAAATTACCATTTCGGAAAATAAAATACCCTCCAGTATTAACTAAGAATTGACCTTCTTATATATTTCTCTCCCAATCTTTAATATTCCCAATGGGAATACTACCAAGCAACAGTTCTCTTCCTTTAAGATTTGTTTTGACTTCAATACCTGAAGGACAGAATAGATTGCTGTGTGTTTTTCAGAAGATGTACTTCTTCTGTTGCTTCTGAATTAGTCTGGGTAAGAGCTTTCCTGTCATAACTTATTATCACAGAATCTCACATACGATAGTGTTCTTGATCCATTAGAAGGGGAACAAATACTTTAGCTTTCATGAGAGCTAAGTGCTATAGGAATAACAAACAATTCTGTGATGTTCTGCATAATTGGATTTAGTGTTCCTTCAAGAGATTGCTGTGAAGCTGTCTATAATACACTTTTGGTCTCCTGGATGATTCTAACCTTGCATAAATTTGAGTTGACAAAATACGCAGTACTTTTTACAGCTACACATAGAGAATAATCATTTCATTTTTGGCAGAAGCCCAGAAGCTGAGAACTGCTGTTTCTTATCTTTGGTTATCAATACAGGTTTACTATCCATTATTAAGTTAGTACAGGTAAATGGTTAAGACCATTTTAGTAGTCAATCTAAAAAGTCTTGCTAGCAAAGGCTGTATGATGCTCTAGTAACTCTGTGTGCTACAGCACTCAAGAAGCAGATATTTCCTGTTTGCTAAGAGTAATTCAAGTGTTTTACTGTTTGAGCTTGCACAGTGTAAGAACCCATTACCATACACTGAGCTACTTTCGATGCTGTTGACTGAAATTAAATACTACAACAAAATATAGGGCATTTTAAGAGTGAATTTAAATTTCCCTATATTTTATTTGCATATGTATACAATTAAATGGTTATTTATTTCATTTTGGAGTTTTTCATTCTGTACATGTGCTAACAGCTGAGACTTGTTTTGCCCGTGAACACAGTTCCTGACGGTAAACCTATATCCTTACTTGTTTGCAGAATGTATAATGAAACAGTGGTATGCTGGCTCTCTGAACTTCAGTAGTATTTTAATCTATGCAGGGATCTGAATGAAATATTAAAGAGGATGATAGTATAATTTTTTCCTGTGTTGATATTACAAAAAAATAATCTTATAAATATTTCACTTTAGCACTACAAACATAATGAAAAATACATGTATGTTTACCAATAGTAAACTATTTCTCCTTCAGTTATTCAAACAGTAAATTTAGTATGTCCACATTTAACTGTTACTCTCAGTAATCCTTATTTACATAGTCAGCACACAATTCTGGTCATGCATGAGTGTACATTGTCAGTTCTAAATACAAAGAAAAATCTTTTGACTCTTGTTTGTCACTGTGGGGTTTAGGACAGAAACCACAAAGAAGCAGTGCATGGTGCCCATACATGGTTACATACAGCCTCTCAATTATTTTTTGCTTCGGTACAAATTTATTATATTTATTATATATGCCTTTCAGCGTCATAGTAGTTAAAGCTAAGCTCATTTTTACATTCACATTCCCCTGCTTGGTGGCCACAGTAGCTGTAACTCAGCAAGGTGCTTAATTATACTTCACATTTTAGTGATAACGATTCTCTGGAATTATTCAGCCTAGAAACTCTACCTGCATGACTTACATTGTTCCACCTAGCATCATCATCATTAATATCTTAATACATAGAGATAGGAAATTATTTATTCACATAAAGTTTGTTTTGATACTAATATATTTCACTACAGCAAGGTAAGGAGTTGGTGACTTCAGATAAAGGCAGGAAGGGAGAAAGAAATGATAAGACTATCTTTGCATCTGGAAAGACTCTGATTCCCCAAGAATCAGAAGTTCACATCAGCAAGCTACCTTAACTTTTCAAAGAAGATGCATTGAGTACTATATTTCAATTATTTTCAAATTACACCATTATAAATTAAAAACTACTGCTCTCCACAGACTATAAGGAGCTCATGCTTCTCCTCCTTAGAGAACATGCTAAAGCAATGTTTCCCCAGCATAATCAGTTTATGATACACACTGGCAGGATGCCATCTCCAAAACGTATGCCTGTGTGACAATGGCACAATAGTAGTGTTTGCATAATCTACAAGTTCTTCAAGATCCTTTGCAACAAATGTCAGTATACACCTCTAAAAGATTATTTTTTTT